ATACTTCTCTAGACCTCCACCATAGTCTCATGTTTCTGTTTTTCCACAATTCAGAAAGAGTCCCTATATCCGGCTATAACTTTATGAAAATGTCAAGTCCTGGGAGACACAACATTGAGCTTCCTGGCAAGGAGTTAGCTTAAATCATAATGCAGGAAGCAGACCTCTTTCCTCTTGGGGCCCGAATTTAGAGAGAAGAGACTATATCAAAGGCATGGGGGAATACAGGCAGACCTGGAGTATCCATGGAGAACAGAGATTACTGTTAGGCTTGAAGTTGGCTGTGATATGATCAGGAGCTTTGGGAGAAATGGCAGAAGTTCCAAACAACTGCCATGTTAAATATGATGCATCAGGAAGAGATTAATAAAAGGACAAGGTAACCAGGACAGGTACCATTTATATTAGTCGTTTTGGGATTGAAATGGGCCTAATTGGAAATAAGCCTGAACAGAATGTAGAGAATATGTCAGTATGTGAGCATTGTTGGCCATGGGAATCAGTGCAGCTCCCTACAGCCCACTGTCGGAATATTGGAAGTGAGTCCTCTCTGGAAATTGATACATACCAAAGAGAATTTTGGGATCAGGAAACCAGGGAAGTTTGAGGAAGCTTTTCTAAGAGAGAGTGACAGCTCCATTGTGACAGATATGGAGGCTCATGAGGTTTTAGTCCTTACACTGGAGACATGCTTAGATTGGAGATCCTTACAAAAGAGAAGTTACTGCTGAGGCTAGAATATGAACACATCTACATGGATTGATGAATGATGTGAGTGGATATGAAGACTAAAAAATTATATCTAGAAAAATTCGAAGGGTAATACTGAATTTGAGAGAATACTTGGAGTAAAATAAGTTGAAATAAAGATCAGAAGATAAGTTGTGCTGGGGCTGGTATGGGCAGCGGTCTGCATTTAAGGAAATGCAGAGAGGGTAATAAATGACTTTGTGAGAAAAAGCCAGCTCACAAGTGGAGAGATCACCCAGAGTGGCAATGGAGTATAAGAATGAGTAGAGTGTTTTTTTTTTTTTATCTCTCTCTTGTGATCAATTAAAAGAATGGGGTTTTACTGGAGGCACTGGAAGAGATAAAGAGCTATCTGGGAGGTTCTGTAGTGGCTAAGATGAGTAAGTGAAGGAGTGGGAGAAAAGATGATTTGTGGATGAAGGACGTTTGCTCTTAATGGAACCAAGTTTCCAAAAAAAGATGTGTGGACATGTTTAATAGTCCTTAACTGACTGAAAAAAAAAATACGAAGAAAACATTAAGATATAACTCCAATCCAGTCAATGTGGATCAGAACCTTAGTAAAAGGACCCCCAAACAAGTCTCTAAAACTCCAGTAGATTTTTTTTTTAACTTGTAATGTTTAATGAGGATCAGGATAAACAATTAGGCCAAACAGATGTTTATTCAGGGAGAAATAACTTACAACCTAGACAGATGAACACCAGCAGGTTCTAGCAGATGCTCTCCTCCCGTGTCCCACCAGCAAGAGAACATTCCCTGGCTCCTCCTCAGACCTAGTTCCACAGGTCACTTCCACCCCTGGCTCCACCTCCAATGGGCATGGCCAGTGCCACAGAAGCAGACAAAGTGAATATCTCACTACATTACTGTTATAAGGAAGTATTAAAAAAGAGATTGAGAAAGGAGAAGATGAGGAAGAAAAAAGGAAGGACTGGGAAGGATAATTCGAACCAGCTTGGAAATGTAAGGACTAGAAAACTGGCAAGGAGATAGAAGACAAGCAAGCCATGAGAAACAGCAGACAGAATGCCAAGAAGGTATGCTTTTGGTACTGAAGGGCCCTTTTGAGACAAGCAGCCTCCAGGTTCCAATTCAAGTATGAGTGAGGTGGTACAGACATGACTGAACTAATTGTCTCTTCACAGTGTTGGATAGACCATTTACTTATTACTAGGATTTTGGTATTCCTGCATTATTAAAAGGCCAAGAGGTGCAAGAATGCCTCATCCATTATTCACATTTCTTTCCAGCTAAGTGCTGGATCCCCAGATGCCGAGAATTTATAAACGTCTGTCTGGAAAGCATTGACCATGATATAAACTGCTCTTGGGTTGTTTTTACTGCTGAAAGCAATCTGCTGGTCTTTCTTTGCATTGACCATTCACATTCCTCTTCTATAATTAACACATACTCAAATGTGAGTTTTGAAAAATATTATGTTTTTGCATAAATCCATGTATGTCTACTAGGATGGCAGTTCAGGAGATTCCAAGTAGTGCTGTGTCAGAATATGAATTATGTACATGAAATATTTCAGATACCATCATTGTCTTTGGCTGTGTACTTCTTGCAATAATTTTTCATGCAATTGTTCAAAAGATCTGCCTTAATCAGACCCCATGGCTCTCCAACAAACACAGTTTTTTACAAGAAGAATTTAAACCCAGCATGGTTTATATTCTGACAGAGTGTCAGAAATGTCACACACATCACCAAGGAGGATGAAAGAAACAACCTGAAGCCTTATACAGAGATTCGTTCACATCATTTAGTCACACATCAGAAAACTCAACAAGCTTGCTCATTAAGAACATATGTAGTGACCAACAAGGTCCCTTCCTCTTTCTGGACACCGCGCTGGCAACATCTACCATGAGAACTGCACAGTTGCCTATGGTTTCTCACTGGCCTACACATCATCTTTTGAGATTGCTTCCCAGGAGCCCTGACCTATAAGCTCCATTTTTTCACAATCCAGCATTATTTTCCAGACAGAGACCACAGGAAGAAAATGTTTTTCCCTTTCTTGACTCTTTACTATCACTGCCCCCCTCTCCCCACCTGAGGGTTCTCTAATTGCCTTTGTCTGGCTGGTCTTACTGCTGCCATATCATGGCAGCCCTGGACTCTGTCTGGCTTTCCGGTCAAGTTAGTTCTGTAGACAAACTGCAGTTAACTGCCCACTTATGACTTGTTTTCTCTATACCATTACTGTGTGACCTAGAGTCACTTAAACTTTGGAGTCCACATCTGTCAAGTAGAAATAATGACGCCTTATGGGACTATTGTAAAGATTTAACAAGTTAATAAAAATATGTAGAACTTTTCCTGGTATATAGAAGCACTCAGGAATAGTCGTTATTTTTATCTTTTTCCTCTGTTGTCTCTGGATATTTTCCTTTCTAACCTTAGTTTAATAATATCAATATGGTATCATTGATACCTGGATTACTACATTGGTATATGTTATCTATTCAGAAAATCAAACCCTTACATGTTTGCTTGAAAATATATGTTATTTTAAAACTGTTGCTCCATATAATATTTATACACACTTACGGTGTATGCTGTCAAAGAATGAGATAAACATTGAATAATCTGATTTCTGTGTGTATTTTAAAGTTGATTTTATTGGATCAAGCATTAGAAAAGTAGATACCAAAAGCTAAGAGAAGTCGCAGGAGGGAAGGAAACAGAACTTGACAGAGATAAAACCATATACATTTAATTGTCCCTTGGATGTCTTTGGATGTCAGATTTATACCCCTAACTCACTAGTACATAGGAAAAAGCACTATTGCCAACAAATGTTTGTTGTCATCCAAAATTAATATCTGAGACTCCTAATCTACAGAGTCAGAGTTTTAAGAGATTGAATCTCTGGAAGGTAATTAGATGACAAGGGTAGGCCTCTCCTAAATGAGACAAGTTCCATTACAAATGAGACTCCATGGACCTTTCCAGCCATCTATCTACATGAAGACACAGCAAGAGAATGGCTGTCTGAAACCTATGGAGTCCTTACCAGAGCCCAACCATACTGACACCTTTACACTGGGCTTCCAGCCTCTAGCACAATGAGGGAAAATGTCACCATTTAGGTCACCTAGTGTATGATATTTGTCATAGTCACCTGGATTTACAAAGTAAGAAAGCCACCTACCATACTTTTGCCATTGTTAGAGACAGAAGTTTGGTCTTCCACTACATGAGTGGTAGTCAACATGCTACTTACTTGGGACTTTATATCCCTGTTTCCTTCCTTTCATTCCTCTGGCACCACCACAGCTCCACCACAATCTCCTCAATAATTTGACTCTGCTAACTAAAGTCAAGAGTCATGGGTCTCATGGATATTTCGAATCATGTCTTGCTTCCGTTTAAACCTTTGTAGAGTCCTTGAACTCTAAGACCCATCTTACCAGTTTACTGGTATAGTAGATCTACTATTAATTTTTGTCTGTCTTTACCCCGTTCCCTGTATCTAGATATCTTGAATTTTTTCCTTATCAATGCTGCTTAAAACCTTACCTCCCATTATGACAAATCTCGTATGGTAGCTCTTGTTCAGATTTCCTTAAAATACCATGTTGCTTTCCTCCCTGAACTCTTACGGAATATAGTATCAGCAGTGACATTCATCACATTCTGGCTTATCTCCTCAACCCTGGCATACTTCCTTTATTCCTCCTTCTAGATCATAACTTCTTCAAAGGCACTTACTATATCCCTTAAAGCTTCAAATGGGATAAAACGAATGGCAATAATCACACCAGGAATTAAGCTCATTTATTCTGCAAAGCAGCAGCCTGTTGTCAAATGCTAACTCCCTCTCTCACAGCTCTCATAAAGAGAACGAGAAGGCATATAAATGAAGTAGCACACAAGAGGAACATACAGTATGAACAATTACGCCAATTTCTTTTATAGGAAGAACGCAGCTGAGATAAACATGAAAGCAGATTATTTACCATCCATGGGCTTTGTTGCCAAATTCTTCTACATTTTTCATTAAAAGAGCTCAAGTAAGGTAAACAAAAGTAGCCCTTGGGGGGAATCAGCACAGAGAAAACAGCTTATCTATCAGCATGGCCTCTAAGATATATCTGTTTGTGTTACTGCTTCCTCTGGGACTCATTGCTTGTGTTTGCACACCTGACCAGAGACACCTCCAGGTATGCAAGGTCACTCCAAACCTTAGCTTGTAGATGAGGGTGAAGAGGACAACTCAGGTGGGAGACACATACCTTTAGGGCATCCTGTGTGTCATCCAGGCAGTAGACTCTAATGCTGTACTCCAGGGACGAACAGCAAAGGGGCCCAAAGATGGCCAGTTTCAGGCGCTTGGCGGCTGCTTTGGTGGTGGACTGCCCAACCAGGGCATAGGTGCTGAGGTTCTCTGTGAGGATGTGGCAAGCCTCTGCATCCAACTGAATGTAACAGGGGGTTGTGAAGTTTTCTTCTCCCACCACCACCACATCCTGGGAATGATAGGGCAGGGGCCATGGTTAAACTACTAAGGATACATGCCAGTCACCATGGGTGGCAGTGGATAAAGTAAGAATATGTCCCTGAGTTCTAATTCATCTTTCTCAAATTTTGCAGTGCCTGTTTTCATTCTCCATCATCTTTCTCTCATTGTCTGTATACTCATACAATTATTTGTGTAAATGTCTTGGAATCTATATGAACATCCAAAAGACAATAACAAATTATCCCTTTCAGTTCAGTACATCTGGGTTTATTAACTGCTTCTGAGAATTGGTTGTTTTAATCTTTCAATGCCCCCATAGCATATCAACTTTTCCCAGGAATTCATATTTAAAAATAATTAGAGGAATTAAGACATTATACAATATTACTGCACTTTTTTTCAAAACTCACACTATAATTAATTGCTCAGAATGGGATAGTTTCCTATAAATAACCTCAGCTCTCAGAGTCTTTACAAGGTGAGATGTGAGAAATATATACTGCCTTTTCTATACTTCTCTGCTATTTTTTATCATGTAATCATTAAACAGTTTCTTGTTTTAGGCAAACATATTTAGTAAGAACAAGTAGAAGTGGTGATTTTTGTAAAAATGATCGCTAATTCAACCATATTTTTATTTATTCAAATTGCTTAAGTTATATACTAACACTTAGCGAGAGTCAGGTCATTAAGCCAAGGGTCGACATTCCACATGCTCCCAGAAGAGTCGGCAGGGTGGAAGGTAATAAAAAGTGTTGGAAATAGGGCATGTAGAGCATGTGGCTGGGTTAAGAGTATAGTGTCCCTGAGATCAGCCAATGGGATGACAAGGCCTGGGCCAAAAGAACCATGATTTACCACAGAGAAGTACACATTCTGATTTTTACATGGACTACCCACTTTTAAGTGATTCAGATTGAGAAGACAATCCCATGTGTGGGAAATAAAATGAATGCATGACTACAACTCAGTCTCTGAATTAGGGCATTCCCCCACCACCACCCACAGAGCAGGAGTCATTTCTGCAATGCTCTTGAGTGGGTCTGACTCGTGGTAAATGCCAACTACTAAAACAAAACAACAACAACAAAAAAGAGTGAATACAATTTAGTCTCTGGGTCTGGATAAAGGCATGAGTGCAGTAGCCTCCCCAGGAGACAGTTTATTGGCTAGGCCTTGTGATGTCATGTGAAATGTTATGAGCTGAATTTTAACATCAATGAATTAATAGATTGAAGTGAATATAAAGGCATCTTACACTGAGGATAAAGGCATCTCAAGGCTTCTAAGTTTATTCTAGGCCCCAGGACACTGGACAAAGAAGGACCTGGCAGGAAATGGTTAAGGAAGTCTGGAAGGTGTGGGCAACAGTGTGTACCATGGCCCAGGCCTGCTTTGTGAGAGTTTGCACGAGAATATCCCTTGTACTTTTCTGGACTAATGTGATGTGGGATAATAATGTTCTTGTTCACTGTAAGGATTTGTCACTCATATTGGTTTAATAAAATGCTGATTGGACAGTAGCCAAGCAGGAAGTATGGGCAGGGCTACCAGACTAGGAGAATTCTGGGAAGAGAAAGAGGGAGAGGTTGGGTCGCCAGCCAGATGCAGAGGAAGCAAGATGAGAATCTTTTACTGAGTAAAGGCACCAAGCTATGTGGTTAAACATAGATAAGAATTATGGGTTAATTTAAGTTGTAAGAGCTAGTTAGTAATGAAACTGAGCAATAGGCCAAAGAGTTTATAATTAATATAAACCTCTGTGTATTTATTACTGAATGGCAGCAGGACAGAAACTTCTATCTACACTAATGAGTTCATCACTGTGTCATTGTTAGCATCATTCAGTCCCAGAAATGGAAAAAGCATTAAGTAGAAAATCTTACAAACATGTAAGACAGTGCTTTCGATTTTTTGATAGTTTAAAGCTTAAATGAGATTAATTTTAGGCCCATTTAAGCCTATTTAAAGACTCTAGATAAGGACAAACTCAACCCTAGACTTGAGGGGCTCTGATAAGGAATGATTCCCTCAAATGGTCAAATGTAGTCAATGTTCATAGAAAGGAAAAAAATCTAGCTAATCCCAGAATATCACACATTGCTGTTAAATCAGTTTTCCTAAAATATTACAGCCTTAAACTTTCCTGTATATCTTTATAATCTTTATATGCTAAAATTACCACAAGTAATTATATTGTAACTTCACATTTTGCATATGTAAATTTTATATAAATATACATTTATACTATCATTTACATATATATTTGATAAAGATATTCCTGAGAGGCAGATGCTAAGTGAAGAGATTTGATGCAAGTTCTCATAAGCTCCCACCCCCTCCTCAAGATGTGGTGCCATTCCCCTGACAGCGAGTTACCTGGGACTTCTCATCATCCCTTTTCTGACTTTGAACATCCTTTTCCTTTTGCCCATCAGTCAGAATATTGGATCTTTTGTCTCTTACTTTGAGTGTGAGCTAAAAGGCCATCATGCATCACTTTAAAAATAAAGGTCTCCCCTACTCCCCTACTTAACACAATGATGGCCCAGTGCCATATTTCTCACTCACCTCCCACTGTCCCTGCACTGCCTGGTTCTTGAGCTGGATCTTCCAGTCCTCAGTGTTGGGGTCTGCACAGTGATGTAGAGTGAGGATGACAGGGCGGGTCAATAGAGCTCCAGAAGGCCCACAGCTCACCACAGGGGTCAGTAGGGTCTGAGAGTCTTCCATGGGGGGCCTGCAGGGAGAGCAGAGAACCATACATGTGCCATTTCCATAGTATTGATGCACTGTGTAATCACTGAGATCTAAAGTTTGGTAAACAGTTCAAATCACTTCCTCATAACACTTGGGGGTAGGTGGGTAGGACAGAAATAAATGGAAGCCATGTTCTCTATAGGCAGGCTTTCATCTTGTGAGCCGGGAGGTCTTTCTTACAGCAATGCATTTGCCAGCATCTGTTTGATCCTGTCCTCAGACACAGGGCTGCCTTGGATAGTTTTCTCTGAATTCATGCTCTGATACTTTCAGGATGGAATGAGAAAGAACAAAATCCTTATGAAGTTACATAAGCAGCTTTTCTGATAACTCTCGCCACTGGTCTCACAGTGTTTTAAATACTTTAGTGTTTTCAGGGCCTAACTTGAAAAATACTTCAAAAAAAAAACTCACTTCAGAATGAGGACACCCTACAGCTAAACTTAGTCCAAATGACTTTCAGGCATAATTCAGGCTAGTATAGCAGATTCATTCTTTCAGATGTGAGCAGAAAGAATATGGAATGGCATTTCTACAGCAAGTTAAAATGAGATCACATCACTTATGCATTTCACTTGCAAAAAATCTGGTCAAAAGGGACTCAAAGATACAAACTGTTTCTCTCTTCCCCTCTTCCACTCTCTTTCCTTTCTACCTCTCACCCTGTTTTTCCCTTTCCTTTTCTAAACTCTGTCAATCTGTTTAATTTACTTTACTAAAAAATAAACAAATGAACTAATTAGTTCAAGCTGCCAATTAGTATGTGAGGAAATCATTCCAAAGTTCCTGAGCTTGCTCATCTATCTCACAACACACAAGGGCTGTTTTGTGATTGGATTAAAGACATGTTTCTTAAGAGTTCTCAAGTAGACTGCCACAACAGCATGGCTACAGGAGTCTCAAGCCTATGACATTTTAGAAATGTCATCAAATACTTCTGTCCCTAGAACAAGAGGCTTATGACAACACAACTGGCATAGTTAGTGCCTTAGACATATCCAAATTTATAGTCTATCGTTTAGATTTCCTTTATGTCTTCTCAACCCATGTTATAATCAACTAGAATGAACACAATCTGCCTTTTAGACAATACTTTCCATATATCCTTGGCCTGCTAACTAGACCACTTATGTATTTGCAGATTATTTTGACATCTTCTGCCTTACAGGACATTCTCAACTTTTCTAATGTTATCCCACAATCAAAGATTCCACTTCTCTCCTTAACATTTCTTTCTTCAAGGTCATGTGGAAGTTTCCAGTGATTTGGTGTCTCATTAAATTGGGCATCCTGAAATTTACCTAAAATTTAAGTTTATTGCTATTTTCTTTAACTTAGATTATCCAGATATAGTCACAGATCACGAATCATTGCATTGGATTATTATCAGTCAAGTAATAACATAAATATTAAGTGCCAGGCTCTAGTTAAGAGGGCAGGTGGAGAAACTGGTATTAAAAATCTTCTTCATTAAAGTAGGCGATCAACACCACTGGAAGATAATGTTGAGCCTTCAAATATTCCTAATATAAATGCTTTTAGGCTATATCAAGTCTATGTAATTTTGTGTTTGTTAGATTGTTTTTGAACCTAGATATATTTAAATTTTTAATTTTGATTTATTAGATTCAACATATAGTTCTTAATGCTATGCCATTCCTCCAAATATTGTGTATCTCCCATAGTCTCCTATCCTTCATAAAACAGATGTCTGCCATTTTTGTGTTCCCTATAGTCACAGGCAACAGTGTAATACAAGAATAGTACAAGGATAAGACCTTTCCAAGGTCATCACTTGAAGCCTCTCTCATCAAACGTCAATACCTTTGAGTTATTTAGCTCAACCAAAATAAACCCATTAAAATGCACATCTCAGTGACATCCTTCCATCCTATTCATGTGGACATTTAAAAGGACATCTCAAATTCTTTCATAATTGCAGTGGCTACTTGAAATTGATTTGTCTCTTGTTGTTACCTATAGTTTATGTATTATTTATCACATCATCTAGAGGTTAGAAAATATCTATGCCCTACCCTCATCTGATGCTAAATAAATGAACAGAGATAAATGAATGATGGCAGCTATTATTATTTTTAACATTGTTATAAGATAATCCTTTATAGATTTATTATGATAATCAATGTACTTAGATGTTTTCAAGGATACTTGTCTACAGTTGTCTTGGAAGATAAATATATCTATATCTGCAGGAAATGATAGGCAGGGCTGTGCCTCATTATGAAAGACTCAGTTTCCCCATGTTTAGTGGCCCTTTACTAAAAACTGTGTACATGTCATCTGACACTCTTTGAAATACCCTGGGAACTTCATCTCATCACAAAATTGATGATGATGTAGAACATGCCTGTCTGAGCTAAAAACTGGTGCCTTCTATCAGTACTGACACAACAATGACAGCTAACATGATGGCTCATAAGTGAAGTCAAACATAAAGACTTCACAGTTGCCAGTCATCACCATCCATAAAGCCTACAGTATGGCATATATATATATATATATATATATATATATATATATATATATATATTTGAAACAAACTTGTTTTACATGTCAGTTCCAGTTGCCTTACCCATCCCAGTTCCCCCCACCAACCACCATCCCATCCCCTTTCTGCTCCGCAGGGAGGGTGAGGCCTTCCATGGGGAGTCTTCAAAGTCTGTCATATCATTTGGAGCAGGGCCCAGGCCCTCCCCCATGTGTCTAGGCTGAGAGAGCATCCCTCTATGTGGTGGGATGCATACTGATCCACTATCAGAGGGCCTATAGAGTGCCTAGTCCTCCTAACTAACACCCTTTATTGTCTGTAAGAATCTCAGACTCTCACTTCTTCCTCCTTCCATCGAGGTTGTACTAGGATATCACCAACTTCTGCCCTTTTCCCTTATCCTCCCACATGGAAGCCTCAGACAAGCTTTGCTTTCTTCTGGACTTTAATATCCTGCATAGCATGTTTCCTTTATTAAACCTATAGTTTCCTAGGCACCTTGGGGATGTACTTATATTTGGAATCATAAGGTTTCTGGCAATAGCTTAAAATTCAATACTATCCCTTCTACCACTTTGGTTTTCATTTTTTCTTAACATAGTTTGTCTTCTTCCTTTTATCTAATTTTCTCCTCTACAACATAAGTGAAGCTTTGCTTTCATTTTGTCATGATTAATATTACAATATCTGCCTTTGGCGGTGACTTTATTGTTGCCTAATGTAACTTTTTCTACCATGAGAAAAATAAGCATACGATGGCTGTGCTTTCTGAAGGCCTTCTCCTCCCTTTAGTAACAAGTGTGCCTTGAGAGGCAAGGGACCTCAAGAAGATCCATTTCAAGAAGCCCTAGCAAAGAGCTGAGCTTTGGAATAATCTATCAGGCTGGTTGGTGTCAGCAGCCTGGGCTTGCAGAAGAGAAGAAGGAGCTTACTCTCATTGCCCAGGAACATAAGGGAAAAGAGGAATACTCAACCCTTCTGAGTTGAGGAAGTATCATTTGGACACTCCTGGCATGCTGTATTGATGGGCACTGCTCTTGGAGGAGGGAAACCAAATGAGGGTTGGGGTGGGGATGAGGGACCTTTTATGTCAAAAGAATTCATTGACTCAGTGAGGTGCAAAAATGAAATGAATAGGGATGTGATGAAGTCAAATTCATAATGGGATGAAAAACAAAGAAGTTAAGACTCTCATATGCTTCCATATGGTAGAAATTGAAGGCACTTCCCAAGGGTCGAATAGCCATTACTTACATAAATGGAGGGCACACAAAATGCACAAAGCCAGCTAGTAGAAACCACATGTAAACCTCCCATATGATTTGGTAGAGAAGAGCTCCAATCTATTATGTCCTATGTGCTATCTGAGTTACTCAAGCGAACAGGCAATTGCAGATGACAGGGATCTGAACACAGAACAAAAATTAGCTATGGAAGCAGCAATTAAGTAGAAATTCAGCAAAGTTCAATTATCAGAATTATTAAACTGTTTCAAAAGCACACAAACAAAAACCTAACAAGATCAAATCACATTAACAACTGGACAGGTCTCTGTGACCCTAGGATAAAGTTCATGAAGAGAAGGTAGTTTTTCTGTCAAGGAAATTTGCCTCAGCCTCTGCTTCTGCTGCCTGTCAGTGAGAAGATATGTGTGTGTGTGTGTGTGTGTGTGTGTGTGTGTGTGTCATAGACTACTCTCAAGTGAGCAACAGCAGCATTAGCTGACCATGCACACTTGTTAGGTAAGGTGTTCCAGAGCTGTTAACACACTTGTCTGAGCATACAGGGCTAATAATTAGCACCATGAGATATTTCACTTCTTTCACACCAGTGTGTATGTTTGTGTGTGTGTGGGGTTGCTTTCCACAAGCTTAGGGACTTTTTGGAAAGGATCTGCCTCCATCAACTTATCTGTGGACATAAGGTGCCTTCTGTGTACGTACACCTTTCTGTCAGGTCCTTCAGGGTGACAATCCCAGCCCAGGCTCAGCTGCCTTTTAAAGTGTACACACACACACACACACACACACACACACACACACACACACACACACACAGAGAAGCCACTTTGAAGAGCATGTTTCCATTTTCCCAGACAGGAAGAGTCTATCCCCAGATTAAGTCAGAACAGCTAAACATTGCACTCTAGCCTAATCCTTGTGGAATTATTTTTCTGAACGTATACTTTGGGCTCCTACAATCTACTTCTCTTATGGATCTTTAGCACAAATAATTTTTGAGCTCATTGCATTTTTATCTTAGGATGTTTGTGACTCGAAAGTTATCCCTTATGAGGGAGCAGAGAGGAAGGAAGAGGGCTCCTTCAGGGCACATTGGTTATGTGGACCTTAAGACAGCGAAGCCTTTCTTTTCTTGTTACCCCCTTTTCCCTCCTTCTCTTTTTTGAGACACAGTCTTTCTGTAGACACTGCTGGCCTTGAACTCCAGAATTTCCTGTCTTGGCCTTGTGAGTACTAGAGTTTTAGATATACCACCACAGCTGGTTACCTTTCCCTCTGGAAGCTATGAAATATCCAGTTAATTATCTACTCCCTGGAAGTTTGTTTTATTAAGCCACTGTTTGGTATTCCTGGTGTCAGCCTGAGTTTATCTACATTTAACTGTTGTTACATTGCCTCAGAACTAACTCACACCTTGGACTAGTTCTATAGGGGATTTCACAAACGGAAGAATGCTAAAGACCACCAGTATCCTATAGTTAACAAACCCAGTAGTTTTAAAATAATTTTTCCTCATTATTTACAACCCCTGCCAATTACCTGCTTGATTTGGGAGACCTCTTTACCTATGATGTTTAAAATTTTCCCTTATACAATGGTTTAGTTATCCTTATACACATTAGTTAGTTATTCAAAAAAAAAATACTCAGGGAGGAACCATTATATATTACTCCTGTGTCAGATACAAACTATGTGCCCACCTTATCTTTCCATGTTTATTTTTGTTGCAAACTAATCCAGAATTGGAATGTTTCCCATTATTGCCCTCCCCATTTCTTTTTTACTTAGAAGTCCATCTCCTGCTTAGACTTCATTCCTGTGTCTGTCTGAGATCAGATCATACTCAAATGTTAGCACATGCCCCTCAGAAATTTAGCTTCACCACTCAAGCCAGTCCAGACTTTGTGCCTTAAAAACACCCTATGTATTCCTCTCCAACACTGGCCACTTCAGAAACACTTTTTTACTCCTCTGTCTGCAAGCCTGGCCTACTCCATTTTTACCTCTCCCATCAGCACAGAACCTTCATGAAGATGATCTGTTCCTTCTCCCAGGACATAACAAGTCACCATATCACTCTTTAAAAAGAAGTGCTAATCCTGTGTCCCTAAACTATTCCTAGCTTCCTGTGGTTCCCCACAGTTTACAAATAGAATCCCATTCACTTTCACATTGGGATTTCTGGCAGGCTGGTAATGACTACAGGGAGAGGAGAAAACTTAAGTTTCAGATAGATCTCAAACCATTTTCTCCACAAGAACTGATAAATGATATTTTGGTCTAATGAGATTTATTTTCTTTTTAAATCATTCTAAAATCAAGATAAAAGTGGCCATATTTTTACATAAGCTAAAGGAACAGTAATCAAGGGGGGAACCAAGTCTGTGTTTTCTTCAGGAGCACTAAGAAGTAGGAGAGGAAGAAATCATGGCCCCGCCTTGCAACTCTCCAGCTTCTTTGGTCAGTCATGGTTTGTCCCATCTCTGGCTCATTTAGGCCACACATCTGCCAGTCTGTGCTTTGCATAGAGCACATTCGGTAATGATACGGCCCCATTTGTCACATTCACTATGCCACATGTAATTAAGTTCACGCCTCCCTTCAGACAGCTCACATCAGCAGATGACCAGCTGGGCGCCATCCAGCTGGAATCACACCCAGTGCCGGATGCAATGAAAGGAGTCAGAGAGACAGAAAATAATGTTCACGATTCTGCTGCAAATGGCTTCAAGTGGCAGTCATCTGCCGTCCTCACCCTAACTTCTTGGAAAAGTTTTACCTGTATTACATGAGGACTGGAAAGGTCTGCCTAGAGCAGTGATGAGTGTATCCAAAGTGTAAGATAATGGGGGTGGGGCAATCTGTGGGGTGTACAGGAGAATGTCATCTTGGAAAGCAGAAGTGCTCTGGGTCAGGTGAACTTGCGTTGGTTGTATTTAGCCCTCCTCCATCACTGAGGAGACTGAATTTCCATTTCCCCACCTTTAAAGAGTTTCATCTCAATGTATAGAGTTCAGTAAGACAGAGAAATATATAAATGTCTGCAGAATGCATATCAGGCATCTCCACTGTGCTTTTACAGGGAAAACACATCTGTGTCATATTAGAAAGTCAGTGGTGTGAGATCTCCTCGTTTATCTGAGAAGTCATCTCATGTTCGGTGTTTGCGTCATAGTCTCTGGTAGGTATTTTCTTCTTTGGGGTGTATGCATTCATGTGTGGAGGTTAACAGTGGACTTTTGGTGTCTCCCTCGCTGCTCTATAGCTTATTCTTATGAAATGGGATCTCACTGAAACTGAAGCTACTCAGTCTGTCCAGACTGGCTTGCTGGCAAGCCCTTGGGGGTCCTCCTGTCTCTGCTTTCCCAGAGCTAAGATTAGGGGTGTGTCACTATACCTATAAATGGGCCCTGGGTTTCATCCCCCAGGCTTCGTGCTTTTGTAGCAAACACTGGGCCATTTTCCCACCTCACCTCTTGCATATTTTGTTTTGAGATCTTGAGCTCTCTCCACACATACACACACAACTTTCTTGATGCAAAACAAATTCAATAGAGCAATTTTCTCCCTTCATTACTTAAAGTTGAAGGCAGTGGAACCTTAAAGAACAGGTGTGTGACCTTACCAATATTATATCCCCTCTTCCCCTGACTACCACTCTGACAAGAATACCCTGGAAGGATGGAAAGGACACACCATGCTGTGGCAATAGCCCAATACAGTGTGGGCTTTAGCTAGAGATAATGGTAATAGGGCGAACTAAGGACAACACTGCATCTTCGGGGTGAGAAGTACAAGCCAGTTCTCAAGTCTGTTAGAGGCTCTGGGGAGCAGCATGTGTTTAATGCTCACCTTGGCTTAGGACAAGAGAAAATAAAATAAACAAATCTGTCTTGGATTTTGTTAATTGATTGTCTTGTTCCCCAAGCAGGGAGCCCTAAGGATCTATGAATGCTGGTCTGCACTAGGGATGAAAAACAACACTTGGTAAGATACAAACCTTTTAAATGATTTTTTGTGGCTCAAATTTAAGGCATGAATAATGTGCCAAGATTCTTGGTTTTGTTTCCTGCTTGTTTTTAAACTTCTTAGTCTGGCTGTTGTTTGTGTAGGTGGACCGATACTATTAGAAGGGGGAAATGTTCTGGGTCAGGCTGTTATAAATAACTGTCTTCACCTGGGAGCATAACAAAAGAGCTTTTCTTTTGGGAAGGAGGGGACTAAAAGAGCTGGCTTCTGGAGGGTGAGAGTGGGGAGGAACCTGCCCTGCTTGGAGATGACCACCTGGTTTGCCTTTGTTTCTCAACTGCTCAGAGCCAGACCTGAGATGCATTTTCCTGGGACTAACAATGATCCTTATACACCAGGATCTCCATTTCCAAAACACCTTTTGTTTGAAAATCTAAATGTGTTTTTGAAAGCATTAATCATCCAGGCTTCTAGTGCACACAACACACACACCCACACCACACCACACCACACACACTTTGTGTGGGAATTAATCAAGAAAGACCATCTCTGCTATGTCAGAAGCTAAAGTAAAAATTGAATTTAGGACTTCTAACCTGTTCTTACTATTTTTACTTAAAATAGCTACATATTGATGAACATGACACATTCAAAGTAGCACCTTTGGGTTCAGTATGATTTTAATCAACACTAGGCTCATTTTGAAAAGTCTAGTTATAAAAAGCTAAGCATAAGAAAAAGACCAGTGACTCTTATGCTGGAGGATAGTTAGATAGGGAAAAGGAAAAAAAATCTCTGCACAAGGGTTGTGGTAGGCTGAGGTGGGAGAGGAATATTGGAGGGGGGCTGTACTAGATTAGGGTGGGAAGCTAAGGGGTATCGACACCACTTTTATGAACTTTATCTCTTCTGTGGCTAGATTCTACTGTGGCTAGATTCTTGACCCAGGTCACAAGAAGCCAGCCTATCTACATCCATACATCTCTTTGGACAATCTGTGATTCATGTTTTTAGCCACATTTTCCAGCTAAAGGACCATGTATCTACTCATAGAAAAGATCTCTAGTATTCTATCCACATACAAGCTATGCAGTATCTGAAGCTTCAACTGGAAAGAAGTAAAATTGGACTTAAAAAAAAAAAAAAAGATTTAGAGTCAAATGTATGTCACTCAAGACAAAATATATTGGGTCTGTCAGTTCTACTAAACACATCTCCTCCAAGTAAGACACTGATAAACTCAAAAGCGTTAGAAAAAAATATTTACCTCATATTTTCTTTCCTGTGTACAGTCACATACATTTCATAGACTCTCCCTTGGGGAATGGCCCCAGCGGGAATCAGCAAGCTCACTCCTGAATAGCAAAAGAAAAAAAAAAATACTGTGTAAGACCTATGAAGCAAAAGGAAATGTCTAGAATTCCTTTGGAGCAAGCAGAAGGGAATGTGATTTTGTGCGTATGGAACACTAGCCTTTTCCCTAAAGACATGCAAAGGTGTACAGCTCTCTCCCCTTCTTGCTGGCCTTGATTTTCACCACAGTTCCCTCTGAAATGTTATGGAATTACTTACGAGACTGATGTCATCTCAAAAGTTCGTGTTTTATTTAAGGAATAGACAGATGGTTCCACTGTTGTTTTTCTTGTGAATTGTGGAGAAATCAAAAACTGCTATTAAATTTTTAAACAGCTGCAGTGATGCATTGTTTTTGATTAAAAAAAAGTTCTCCATGAAATTCAAACTCAAGGAAATGCTAACCTCAGCCATGTCAGAAAACGCCCACTCCCCAAAATATCTGGTGAGCATTAGTGTTATTCCACAGCAGAGTTAGATATGGAAGAATTTATTTTATTATATACCACTCTAGAAAATAAGCAACAACATCTCACTTAGCTGCAGCAGATCAGAGTACTTCTCATTTGTTAATGTTTGGTGTCAGTGAGAAGGGTGTTTGACATGAGCTGTGTGAGAACTGGACCTCAGATGATATTGAGACAATTTGAGTTTTTGTCAGGACCTCCTGTAGATCCTGGCTTCAAAATCTTGTTGACAATGTTTGTTTATAGAGTTTGACCAAGTTTTCAGGTGATGTCATGATAGTGGCCTGTGGTCTACCGTGTCATAACTCCAGTCCAGTTATACAGGTCAGCAAGCATTACAGAGAGTGACTTGGTTGAAGATATTAGGTCCTGTCTTTCCATTCCCATGAAGTGTATCTTAATTAAGTGCAGTAAAAAATGCATAGACTGTCTTTATGAGGAAAGTATCTGACATTTCTATGATGTCAAAAATGAATATCCTTGAGTAACATGTAATTACTTGGCATGATGTAGAATGTACCCAATGAGACAAGGCAACAAGAACTCTTGCCCAAGTGGCTTTAAATCATAAGAATAAGGAACAGAGAGCTGCAGGGGAGGGGGTTTAGGGGTACAATTATTAAAATGTTTTGGGAGCACCTTGTCTATGAAAGTGTTGAACCATGGCATTCTTGAGGTAGAAAGGGCAGCTATGGTGCTGGGGAAGTGGAACGGGGTGTTAATGTAAGCATGGCTTATGAAGGGCATGAGACAGGAACAAGAAGGCTGTATATGAGACAACGTAGACATAGAATTCATTTTCTAATTAAATTGTGCAATGTACCTTGATCTTTGCTATGGAGTTTAAAAATTACAGATGTAAAGGTAAAAGAATAATTAGGAAACAATTGTATTGTATTGAGTGAAATAATCTAAAGTTTATTTACATTTATTCCCTTCCATTTGAGGAAGACTTTGTTATAATTCACATACTAGAGAGTGGAGGGTGCAGAAATAGGAAGAACCAGACTTCAGTGAACATCACGGGAGAAACCACTATCTTATGAATAAATGTACTTTTTAAATAATGTATGTTTGACTAGGTATTTTATGGACTATTACAAACATCATGATTTTGAAGAGCATAGAAATAGCATGGGAATTAATGAGAAAAGGTTAAAAAAAAGTCTTATGTAACATGACATCCATTATGTACATATACAGGAAAAGGAAAACTGATATTCTGTCAAATAATAGGTCAGTGAAGTTATTTTTGTTATTGTATTGAAAAATATACAGACTTGTCCAAAAGAGTTAGTCTGTGCTTTTAAAGTAGTCATTAGCTAGCTTATGGCCTATGGTTACAAGTTCATCATTATTACTGAAAATGAATACCAGCTTTTAATATTGGCAATAATTGACTTAAGTCCTCTATGAAAGACCATTGTGTTTTTTTTATTCTTTAGTTATTGCTTAACTACATAGTGTATTTAAAAATTACATACAACTACAAATGTTCTCTGGATGAAGTTGAGATTGTAGTCAATAAATCATGGACTGCAATAATACTTTCTGATTAAATGATACACTGAATAATTAATAAAGACTTTTGTGTCTATTATATAGTATTTCTAATCATTTAGAAAATAATTTTCTGACATATAGCTGCCTTGAGAAAATTCGAGGAAACCAATTGATTGTATTTTCTAATTAATTTGTTTTGAACTCCAGGGATTACAATGAGGGTTCCTGGGTTGATTATGCACTTATGGTAGTCAGTGTCTGTTTTGAACTGTACCTCAGCAGGAAGGACTTTCTAGAGGTACTGAATTTAGAATTGGTTGGATGAAGATAAATGGTTTTGTAGATTTTGCATGAATGGAAATTTGAGTTAGACTACATTGAACATTTCAGGTTCAATAAAAAGCAAACTCCATTATGATTTCAAGTTGCATCTTTGTCACTTAAACTTTTAAGAATTACCTGAGTTAGGAATGATGAGGTGACCCCCGAGTGAGTTGAAGGTGCCAAATGCTGTGCAGGATGGGTCAGTCTGTCTAGCAAGACTCTGATTCTTCATGTTAAGAGCCTCATTCTCGAGCAAGGATTGGGTCATCTGGGGCGACAGCTTGGATGTGAACTCAGAGAGGTCATCTTGAGGAGTGACAGCACCTGAGGTGTTATACACTTTGATTTTCAAGTTGGGCAGTGGGTCCAAAATTGGAGAATTGGTCATTGGGATTTTGTCTGAGACATCATGCAGAGCATAGACAGGTCCCCTGTACATGGCTGCAGCTGAGGTGAGGTCTGGGGGGACTGCCAGGAGATCTGAGTCAGAAATAGAAAATAATTCCATTTGCATTCTCTGTTCAGACCAAGCTAGATTAGGGAGAAAACACTTCCCACCTTTAAGCCAAAGCAAAGCTGATCTGCTAACTGCACAAGGAGAGATCAAAGATCTTGGAAACAGGGCAAGCATAGTATCCACATCCATCTTTTTATTGTCCATTGATAAGTAACCTTGCACTTTTGATATTCTGCCTCGAGGTCTAATCATGACACTTAGAGTATTTGGCCATTTCAACAGACTAGAAGGCACACTGAAAGATCCCGAGTTACTATGTGGTAATGGTTTTGCTTGCCTATGCTAAATTTGGATTCATATGCACATCACTGCATTAAAATCATTACAAAAAAGGGAAAAGAGACCAGAAAAATCAATGAATCAATGTAATTGTTCTTTCAAATAGAAGTTAAGATGCAGGACAGAGGTACTGTCAGAAAAGCAAACCAGAAATGATCTGTGCTTCTCATTAACTCTGATTTACTGTATAGAATAATTTCATTCCTATAATGAACAAAGCCAATCAAAATCTCTGCCTTCACTTGGCTTATATTTTAGCTCAACTGGATGACACAAATGCAGCTGAATTTGAAGCTATGCAGGTGCTACGCTCATCACGTGTATAACTCATAGGGCGGAAAGCTCACTGACCTTGTCTGGCAGCCTTGATGTTCACAGGCTGAAAGCCGCCATTGAGTGCTGAGGAATCAATGATGTCAGACTCAAAGTCACGATGGTTCTTCCGATAGACAAACAGGGCCACTACAACAGTGATCGCCAGACAAACGGTGACAGCTATCACAATCCCAACATAGAGCGCAACATCATCTGAGTCAGGAGCAGCTGGAAAGAGAGAATGAAACATCAGACCAACTGCTTCTAGAAACTTCCCACAGAACACATATGTATTGCAGTAATTTTTTCAGACATTTATTGCCATTTTTATGGGTTAATTTCAAGTCTATTTCAAAAGCTATATAAAACGACTATGGCTTTTCAGCGGAAAATTATCTCTGATTTCTTTTTCTTTCTCACTCTGCATCAATCCACCCACTAATCTATCTTATAATTGGACAGCATAACAGACTATTTATTGCCAGGCATTTAAAGAAACTGGAGCCCAAACCATCCCAAACCACAGGAAATAAAAAACTTTATTACTTCTTTCAGGTGAAAAAGTTTGGGAGGGTTATTGAATTCACTCAGTTAAAGAAAAAAAAAAAAAGAAATAAAACAAAAACAACTCATAAACACCGTCGGAAGCATCTGGTATGATTTTAGTCTGTATGTGGATTGAACCAAGATGTTTGTCTAACTACCACTCCAGTCATTCTTGCACTTAAATCAGTGCAAGAATGGATGGGAACCATGGAACTATACAAGACAGTAAAGCAAGTGTAAGGAATGAATGTGGTGGATTAGGTCAGGCAGCAGATAAGCATTTGACCAAATTTGGCCTACACAAGGTGACATCCACTGGGGGGCTAGTTCTAGGTAATGCAAAAGAGAACAGAGCCTGCCTGTTGCTTTGGTAGCATGAAACATGCTTGGATTGAACTGGAGAGGTCTTTTTGAATTGGTCTTTGTTTTAAACCCTTCAGAAATATTCAGACAAACTGAACATATCTGTAGTCGCCTCACTTAAAAAGAGGCGGTTAAAGAGATGCTTCAGATAGTGAGAGACAACTGAGAACTTCATGGCCACTTTATATACATGTACATTTGCAGGGCATGGAGAGAACTTTTAAATCTAGAATTTGAGAAACCATCCCTCTCTCCCAAGAACCAGAGCCACATGGTTTATATGTGGAAATAACTCATCATTTTATCTGCCAGAGTTTTCCAGCATTTACCCACAGTCCTTTGTCACAGTGGCTTTAATTACACTGGCAGTTTATATGAATCTACTGTTGGAAAGTGCCCCATTTAAAAACTATCACCCTTCCCAGCATTTCAACTTTCCCATCAATCAAGTGAATATTGACAGCATCTCTCTGACATCCCAATACTCTTCATTACATGACTACTGCTTTCAAAATGCTGACTCTACTTTGCTGTGGGGTTTTATTGGGAACCCTGTTAGAAGAATTCTTAACTCAGGTCAGAATAGTATATCTAATCCTTAATGTTTGACTTTACTTATTCATGATTCATAGCACAACAAATCTACATTTCCTCAACCTTTCCTTTTTAGTATTTGAACCCTGCCCTTTATGTATACCAGCCAATTTCATGATATGTTTTCTCAGTGATGGGGACTCGTGCTGTCAGTGGTAGACTGATAGCTTCTAAAGCTGGCAGCGACTTGAAATGACCCTTTCTTCTCTTCAGCATTGAAAATCTAATTTGCTTTTCATGTTAGAATACATTAGGCTCCTATTTCCTGCGTGCACATCTGTGAGCCAAAGAAAGGCAAACTTGAACAGGGGCAATAATGTTAAAGGACTATTTCCCAGCATAAAACCCAAACATGAAACTTACAAGAAAATCCATATTCATTCTGGGTTCTGTGTTCAGTTGAAATGGGGTAAATGAATCCTTGAAAAGAAAAAACAAAACAAAACAATGAAACAGAAATGGGAACAAAATCAAATTAATGAAGGAAAACAAAATAGGAAGCATGAAAAGATGGTTTAATTAAAGGAAAAAGGAAAAGAAACCTGTGGTCCTTTAAAATTCTGGTGGAGTATGGAATTATGATTCTGTGCCCCCTGTTTGCTCTGGAGCCTCGCAAAGAATTAATAAGTAGGCAGATTGAATTTCAGAGCAAAACCCAGTCTCGAGTCACTAACTTTGGAGTGCTTAAAGTCTTTCTTTTATTGAGCATAAACTCTAATGGATCTAATTTATTTCAGACATCAAGTGTCATTAGCATAAGGGAAATCTTTTTCCCCTTATCCCTGCCATATGCTTTAATTCCCAGGACATGCTCAGAAAGCCCTGAACAGTTTCCTTTTTCTTTTTTATTTAATCATAACAACTTGCTTTTGGTCTTCACAGAGCTAAAGCAGGCCTGTCGTCACTGGTCAAAGGTTAAGTACCCATTTACCCAGCTAAGCAGTGTTCACCTTGCCAATATCTGAGATCCATTTTTTTGGATTTTTGGTCATTGCTTGTCCCTTTCATTTAGAAAGTATCCAACCTAGACTGCCTGGGGGCTATATAGACTGTCCATACAATGACAACTGGGTGATTTTTATATGAAATCATTTGAAAATCAACTGCGCTTAGAGAGTATAAGCTTATTTATTTTAGGACTTTAGATGGATGTTTTACACTAATAACCTTATCCCACTAACAATGCAGAAGAAATGTGGTAAGGAACCTTTTGTCTTTTGAATGAATTCTGAGTAAGAAACCAATAGAAAAAGTAACATCACACTAAAAATGCCAAGGCAAAGTGGAGGGGAATGGGCACAAAGCAGATAAAGATGAGGACATAACATTGTTGAAATGAGAAAGCGGGAAAGAAATGTAAGTCCAACTTATAACTGGCACCCAGTGTACCCTGCAGCATATGAATTAATCAAATAACGTAGTGCCATTTGGATTAATCAAATGAAGATGAACACGAGCATGTGAATTAAACATTCCTAGTAACACTCAAGGGAAAAAAAAAAAAAAAAAAAAAAGAGAGAGAGAGAGAGGAACCAGAAGCATCACAATTAATTAGTTCAAAGTGAAGTTCAAAGTGAAGGTCTGGAAGGCTTTAATGGTGAGGGCAACTCCAAATCAGGCTGCAGGTAGGTCTTATGCAGCAAGCAGATCACCCATTTCTCACTAACCAGTTACCTATTTGGGATTTAATTCTGGGAAACACACAATGCTACTTTAATGAAAGTGAGGCTTGCCGGAGCACAGATAGGTTTGCTCTGAATTAATATTTAATGCTTTATTTTAGAGCAATGATTGCAACCTCCTACTTGGTTTTATAAATATTATATTTCTTATCCCAGTTGTCGGAGTCCATGTATTAGTTGGGTTTTCATTTTTAAACATCTCTGTGTGGTAATAGCTTTTTTCCATGTGTAGTCTGTGAACTCAATAAAAGGACAACTGGGACAAATAGAGGCTTTAGAACCACAAGGACTTAGGGCAAACCTAGTTTATTGCTATGGAAGGAGAGCAGAGGATGAAACCTTTCTTTTGGAAGTTAGGATGCTACTCAGAGGAATGTTGATGTGTGTGTGTGTGTGTGTGTGTGTGTGTGTGTGTGTGTGTGTGTGTGTATGTGTGTGTGAGTGATAGGACAAGGGTATGAGTATAAAAAGAGACTTGGAAGTGTTCTGATGGTGGTCTGTAATATGTTGATGAGCACTTGTAGGGGCCTGCTTGAGTGCTTAGGTTCTCCAAATCTCATGAAAGGAAAGCTCCAGTCCACAGACAAATGACACACTCTCAAGTATATCCTCCATAAAGCAGGTCCTGGTTTCCCTTGATGGCTTATATTCCCACTTCTCAGTAAGGATTTTGTTCTTGATAGGCAAAACAAAGAATAATCAAAATTTGTAGTTCTTAATTTACGTTCTAATGTCCCATATTTATTTAGAGCTGGACCGGTCAATAACTAAATTGGTGTCATATGCTGTGATTTTGAGACTTACATTGAACTCCAGGCAAAGGATTAATAATTCACTCACTCACTCATTCATTCATATTTTCATTCATTAAACCATTCATTGAACAGGTACTCTTGAATTCTACTGTAGTTTCAGTTCTGATCTAGTTATGTTAGAAGATTTCCTTCTGCCCAGAGCTTTCCTTTTGGCATATACTTAATAGGAAATGAGAAGTAAACGATATGATAGACAAAAATCATTATAATGTTAAACACATTCATTAAAAATCAAGCACATAGGCTGAAGATGTAACTCAGCCATCTAAGGCTTGCCTATGACATGCAAAGCCCTTGGTTTAATTTCCTGCATCAAATATGTATAGCATCAAGATGGGTGAAATACACTTGTAATCTATGTATTTAGGAGGTAGAAACAGGAAGATCAGAAGTTCAAATCATCATCTACATACATAGCAAATTCAAGATCAGCCTAGGGTACATGAGATCTGTTTCAAAACATTATTATCTTCATCATTTTTATTGTCATCATCAACTTCATTACCACCATCATCCATATAGCAGAAAGAGTATGTGATCTGACTAGAGATAACCATAGCAGCAGATCATGTAGTACTACAGGTCCACAAAGAAGTTTCAATGTTATTACAAATAAAATGAAAACTATGTGTTTGAAACACAAAGCAAGTCACTATGGGTTTTCTACAGAGGATAAACTGTAGAAGGAGCAGAGCCACAGTATTTCAGCTAACACGCAGCTGGGAAACATCTTTTAATATATCAATATATTTAGTGAAGCTTTTGCCTTTGACTTTGCTTTAATAAAACAAAATTAAAAAAAAAAAACTAAATGTCTCTCTCATTATTTGTTTTTTCTCATAGCCAATTAGGACCAATCTAGGCAAACTGTTAGTTTCCAATACGGAAAAACCTAAATCAGACCAATACTAAATACGCTCCATACCCCAATTTGCTGTGTTATGCGAACCATTGGTAAAGGGTTTTTGAAACCACTTCCATCCCTTTCTAAATACATTCTACAGCTACACAAGGAAAATGCCACTTAGGAGGCTGGAATGGGAACTTGCTGCACTCTATGAATGAGAGAACAGGAGCATTTCCAGAACTGGTTTTTATGCTTTCCCATCTGATTTGTCTCTCCTGAAACAACAGGGGACATTTTCTTCAGTTAATGAGGTGGCCCTGCTGAGTGCAGTCCTAGAAAATAGGAAAAGTCCAGCACAACACAGAACAGAATGACTGTTCTGTAGCCTCACTTTGGAACCTAATTCATAGCTTATGGATTTCACTTAACTTCTCTGATATTTAAAGACATATAAAAGAAAGAACATCAGAGAGGCTGGTCAACGTAGTGAACTTGAGTTCGTGTCCTTGAATTTATCAGCCTGATAGACTTCTTTCTGTGTGAATACCAGGTCTACCATTTCTTAGGCAGCAAGCAACTAGACAAATGACATCTTCCCCCCAAGTTTAGCTTTTCTGATCTGTGTGGGAGACTACAGATTCTTGTTTTTGTAGCTGTAGAAGGGAGAGATTAGGGTTATAAAATCAATCTATAAATGACAGTTATGGCAATATCGTTATGAAGCACAGTGTTGAGCTGAGCTGACATGCTGGGTCCTAAGGGAACTTTTTCTGTATGATGAGCATGTTCTAGTTAATGAGTGACCTCAGAGAACTTGCCTGAGTTTTACCTTCCTGTTGACAGCAGAGCTAAGGAGCCCAGTTTCTCTGAGAAGCATGAGCGATGCCTTCTTTTAAGTAGTATGTAATCTTTTAGTGTCCTCACTTTAAGGGGTTTATGCTTGGCCTTTGTGGCTTCTGGCAACCACATAAGGACATGCTTCTGGAGCAGGTTTCCAGGAGCAGAGTGAAAATTGTCAGTGGCCTGATTTCTCAACCTGGAGTGCTCCACTTCTCAGTGAGGGGTTTGAAAGGGGGCAGAGGTGCTGGCTTTTATTATTTGGATCCTTGCAATATTTGGGGGCTTGTTTTGGCATTTAGTAGCCCTGAAATGTGATGGACATTCTGGGGAACCAAGTGCACTCCATAATCTCAAAGTCACGTCATTCAGATTCGTGTTTTCTCCATCAAAAGAAGGAGGCCTGCTGTAAGATGGCCTTAGCATCTGGGCCAAATGAAGTCAATTCCAGGGCAAGCTAAAAGGGGAATACTTATACCCTATAACCTCTTAAAAAAAGAACTTTGAAATCTTAAAGAATTTTTACTTCTAAAGATGAAGTTTTCCTAACATGGAGTACTACAAATGAATAATTAACAAAAAGTTAATTATTACTATATGCATATACATGCGTGTGTATAAGAGTTGGTGCTAAGATGCCAGAGATTGTGTTTGTGGGTCAAAGTACAACTTTCAGGAGACAGTTCTCTTCTCCCACCATAGGATCTGGGTGTTAGACTCGGGACATTGGTTGCTGAAGCATCTTGTGGGCCTTCATCATGGAGAAAAGCTTTCAATGAACTTCAAACAACTTAAAAACAAGAGCAGGTTTCTTGAGCAGTTTGTGCAATGTTCCTTTGACTTCAAAAGCATCTTATAATTGCTAATAACATAATTTCAAGAGATCACACTGTCTAAGCTCTTCTAGTCAATGAACTGTGTCCCAAAGGCAAGGAAAGATAATTCCAATAGAATCCAGGTTTAAATTCAATCTAATGAAGTTTGATTTCAGCCATTCTTGTCAATCATGTTGATATCCAAGTTTGCCTTGTCTAACCCCAGGGTGTCCCATTCACATTTGTGTTGACCCTAGATTTGGACTGTTACTATCTCCCCACCCATTTTCTGGTTGGTGGTAGGAAAGTGCCGTGAGAAAAAAGTGACTCCTATTTTACTCAAGGTCACATGTTAGTCGATGGGACTATCTGCATTTTCCAACTGATGTCCAATTGTTTTAAAAAATCAAAGCCCATGTCCAAT